CCACACCTAGTTATTTAAATAGCTTGAAATGTGCCTCTTTACCGGATATTTGTACTAAATAAATGGAGGTTAACTACCCATTCCTTGAAAAAGAATATAATCAGCAGTTTTTGAAATACACAACATTCTTTCCATAGAGACATTATTGCATTTCAGTACTCTGTCTTTTTCCCACCATAAATATGTCTAGACTATGTACTAATATAGAAAACATCACAGATTTATAACTGAGGTGAAAGCTAAATTATAAGAATGGAAAATAATAGCTGAAAGAAGATTGAAAGAAGACTTGTTTTATGCCTCAGTAAGTATATAATCTGAACTGCACAAGTAAAAAAAAAAAAAATTAAAAGGGCAATCTTTAAGATTCCCTTAAAGCATCAGGCAAACACAAATCTGGAAAGAAAGAAATGTCTAACGTGTACCCTTAAATAAAACAACATGGGTAGTTCACACAGTGGAGACTGAGGTTTAGGAAAGTAGCGTGAGGTCTCCTTTATACAGCCTCTTTAAATGTCAACCATAAATTACTATTACACAAAAAATTGAGGACACTAGACAATTCAAAGCCTGTCCTAATTCTCAGCAGATGAACACTTGCTCATTATGGCTTGTGTAATCATGCTGTCAATTTTAGAAGGGTCCAAAAATACAGAAAGATTTGGCTTCTGGCACCAAAACTTCTAGACTTTTAAATGTGCAAATGCTAATATCCTCTAATGAGAATTTTTAAGGAAAGTTTACAAGATAACTTAATATTATTCAGCTTACTATACAACATCATTGTGGATAATTGTGCTTTGAATGCCAAATAATACACTCCATTATTTCAAGACAATTATTTCCCTAGATTGTTAAAAAATGAAGTCACCACCACCCTATAATGTTATAGTGCACAGATTGTTAGTGGCAAAATACTGTGTGTGGCCTTGGAGAAGCAATTGTTACTCCCCATCAATTATAAGACTCTATCCAAACAATTTGAAGTCCATCATTCTATGGTGAGAAAGATTCACAAGTGGACAGTTGCCAATCTTCCCAGGAGTGGACATGCCAGCAAATTCACCCTAAGGTCAGACCGTGCAGTGCTCGGAGGAATTGCAAAATACTGTACCCAACAGCGACATTTTAGATTTTACAAGCATCAGTTAACATGTTAAATGTTAAAGTTCATGACAGTACAATTATAAAAATACTGAAAAAGTATGGCTTGTTTGGAAGGGTTGCTCAGTATAAGCATAGCTGTCAAGTCGCCCGTTTTGGCCGGGAAACTACAGTATTTTACCCCTCTTTCCCGCCGTCCTCCCGTATTAGTATTTTCCCATAAATCTCCTGTATTATAATATCATTTAATAAAAATTCCTCTGCCTCTCCAAACTGAACTGCCAGTAGCCTCACGAGAACTGCCACCTTCATTAGTCTGCAGGTCATTTACAACATTAACCAGGTCATAAATGCGGAGGTTAAAATGGCAATGCTGTGTGCCAAAAACAACGTTACTTTCACCTTCTGTGACGACTTCAACAAGGATACAAAGTCTGCAACAAATCTGTATAATAAGTCATTAGTGAATGCCAGAGAGCATGAGAAATTAAAAGAAAATGTGTAATGAAAATAAAATGTAAATGACAAGTGGATATTTTAGATTTCTTGTACACCTGTCTTAAAATGTAAGGGATACTGGAGCTTGGGTGGGGTGGTGGGGTGGCTCGCGGTGGGTGCCGGAAAATTTCCCTTATTTTCAAATTCAAAACTTGACAAGTATGAGTATAAGTCTCTTCTCTCTAAAAAGAACATGGCCGCATATTCATTAAATCTGTCCTATTCACAGTACTGCCCAGCTGCTGTCTGTGCACATGTTGCTACAGTGTTTATATTTGCAAAATACCATATAATGTGTTATCAATTGATATTGTTGACAATTAGCCAGGCTAGAACTGGGGCCTGTTGCAAAGCAGGATTTCTTGCTTAGCCAGACAACTTGATGGGTTTAAGGTTGTCTGGGCTAAATTTAAGTGAACAAAGATAAAAGGCCATTTAAACTGGGATAAATCAATGCAATAAGTTATCCGATTAAGCAAGAAATATTGCTTTTTGAACCGGGTCCCTGGTATTGCTAAATGGCTTTACGACTTGCTGTACTGGAACACTGTTAACTCGTGTGTGACAACATTTTTATTAAATAAATCATCACATGGTGGAATATGTTGTAATCTGTTATCTGTTGTTTTACACCCAAGGTTAGATTTAAATAATTTTAGAACCTAGTAAGGACCAGATACCATAGAACCATAGAAAATCATATAACTGAATACTTTGTCACATGACAGTATTTCCAGTGCATTTGTTTTTTTAAGACTTCACAGGTTGCAAACTACCAATGTGCATAATTTTGTGTTTAAGTGTTTGAAATTGGTTACAGCTGAAACTAAATTAGTTTATGGACTTCCAGACAGTACCAACAAAGCCATTTCCTAAGAATTGTTAAATGCATTTATGTATGATACAAAAAGAAAGATATATATATATATTAGAGCTGCCACTATCTACTATTTTTATTTCGATTAATCTATCGACTAATTTATCGATTAATCGATTAGTCTAAACGATTGTTTTTTTTTCTCCAAAAATAAAAAACATCAACAATTTTATTGAACTTTTCTTTATTTTAACAATTGCACTGTGCACTCCAGTATCACTAAAAAAATTAACAAAAGTCTTATTATCTTTCACAGTACTGTGCAGGATTTAAGAAAGTTTCTGTAAAAGCCCTTAAAAATAATTTTTGAAAAAGTCTTCAGCTCTATATTCAGCATATTTTGAACATCAATAACTGGAAACAAATAAAGAGATCCTAAGACATAACAGACCCAATATGCCTCCCCTCCCGGGCCTACCAATGTCCAATTTTACTTCCACAAGGGCTCATTTCAGCAAGGAGTGCGTTTTTAACTGGAAAAAAGATATTTCTTTTATATCCCTTTTCAAAGTATAACTGTTGGGTTTTCACATTAAATAGGGCAGCATGTTTAGAGTATACTGTGGTCAAGTACTGGAATTTAAGTTCTCTAAGAAAAACAGACAGACAACTGTTTGTTTGTAAAACGGACAACTCCAGCAAGAAATACAAACAACAAATAAGAGCACTTATTTTAACATCAGCAGCGCATCAGCAGTAACATCCAAAATTCCACGAAACTCTTTTTCAAAGCAAAAAAGTTAAAGTGCAACACATTTACAGTGCAAGAGACAACCGCATCCATCTGGTGGTCAAACTTCTGTGTTATAGTGTAAGAATGTCAAGATGTCCATGTGTTCTGGACTTAGGCTGGCTCTTTTCTTAGCGACTATGTTTCCCGGTAAGCGAGTGTCTGCTTCGGTCCGCTCGACGCCACAGTGTTAAATTGTCGTGGCTACTTACTGTAGCATACGTAAATGAGAAATAGCTTCATAGATAAATATTATCCACGGGTACTCACACTCTGTAATTATAAAATCTAAAACCGCAAAATCTGGCAACACTCAGGTTGGCGCGTTTTGAGAAATTAAAACAACTTAATAAAAAAAAATAAAGGACGCGTCGATTAAAGATATTGATGTCAACATTTTTTTTTGCGTCACGGCAGCTCTAATGTATATATAAACAAAAGCACCAGAATATTAAATATATTTGTGCTAAGTTGCTTCTAGCTTGATTTAGAATTGCAGCAAAGAGGAAAACAGCCATTTCTCCTGAGACAGTCATTTGCGTCAACCAAAGATAAGACAAGACCATACTGGTTGAGGAAATAGATGAGCAAAATCAAAGCCAGCCAATTAAATAGCATTTGACTGAGAGTGGAGACAGAGCAATTATGTCTTATCAAAGGAAGTTTGAATTGGGACAGAATGCTCTTCATATGCCCCACAGAATCCAAGAGACTAACTTCATTTTTCCTTACCAATGAACCCTTCTCAGGGTACAAAAGACATGAGTATCACAGAAGGAATGTGATATGATGATACCGTAACAACAAATTAAATAAAGTCAATTTTCATTGCATTTCTTAAGCATGAAAATGAGGATTTCCTCAATTTCACATGATTTTACATTCAAAAACTTGTTACATAAGGACAGCTCTGTAACTTATTTTGTCAACCATTAATCACAGCAATGAACATGCCTTTGGGAAGCTTCTGGAGAAAGGCTGCATATATGGTTGCCAGAAGTCAGAACTAAGTAATAGGTAATTATATAAGTAAGTAATAACATAATAAGCAACAATCCAAAATAAATTTTAAAATATTTTTCAAAAGTCCAAAAATCTTCTTTAAAATGTAATAATAGTAATAATAATTACACATACATGTATACATAATTGCATACATACATACTGTACATACTGTACATATATCTTGTAACTGCTTATCCAGGTTGAGTGGTGGTGGTGGGGTGGGGAGCAGATGCTACGCACTATAGGATACAAGGCTGGGGCATAACTAAAATAGCTTGACAGTACTAGTCAGAGTTCCTCATTGTTTTCTGTGTGATGCCAGCATGATCTTTTTATCTAATACTGCTTCATACAACTCCTGCTTCTGCCATCACATTTCCCAAAATGTAGCACATATGCAGCATTTATAGCAATTTCAGATGCATGATTGTAACCCTCTTCACTTCTTAAGCCAAAGATTCAACCGCATGGTAATATTTACCAAATAAATAATGCCATTATATATTTTATTCAATGAATTCCTAGATTCCACATCAAGGTCTCGATTATAAGATGCAAGACACATTTCATTCATTTTGAAAAAAATCCTGATGTATATAAATCTGATACCCTGCATAGGACAAGCAGGTATAGAAAATGACTGGATAGATGAATGCATGAATGGACGAAGAAAACATTTCTGCACATATAACATAAATGACATTGATAGATACAGTGAAGGAAATAATTATTTGACCCCCTGCTGAATTCTTAAGTTGACCCATTAATAAATAAATGAGAAGTCTATAAGTTCACTGGTAGGTTTATTTTAACAGCAAAAGATAGATTATCAACAAAACAAGCAAGAAAATATCATCATGTAACAGTTGCAAACCAATCTGTCATTCATCTCAGGAAATAAGTATTTAATCCCTTGGAACACATGCTTTAGTACTTGGTGGAATAACCATTGTTTGGAAGCATAGCTGTCAAATGTTTTTTGTAGTTGGTCACCAGGATTGCATGTAGATCATCAGGAATTTTCATCCACTCCTCTTTGCAGACCTCCTTCAAATCTTTAAGGTTTTTAGGCTGTCACTTGGATAGACGAAGCTTGAGTTCCCTCCATAGGTTTTCTATGGGATTAAAGTCCGGAGACTGACTAGGGCACTCCATGATCATAATATGGTTCTTCTTGAATCACTCCTTTGTTGCCTTGGCCGGATGCTTAGGGTCGTTGTCTTGCTAGAAGACCCACCCGCAATGCATTTTCCGTGCCCTGGCTGAAGGAAGGAGGTTGTCATCCAAGATTCTACAGTACATTGCCCCGACCATCTTTCCTTCGATGTGGTGCAGCTGTCCTGTACCCTTTGCAGAAAAACACCCTCAAAGCCTAATGCTTCCACCTCCGTGTTTGACAGTAGGGATGGTGTTCCTGGGGTTATAGTAAGCATTATTTTTCCTCCAAACACGGCGAGTGAAGATGATGCCAAACAGCTCAATTTTGGTCTCATCTGACCACATCACATTCTTTCAAGCCTCATTGGAATTATTCAGGTGCTCACTGGCACACTTCAGACAGGCCTGAACATGGGCCCTCTTGAACAGGGATATTTTGCAAGCAATGCAGGATTTAAAATCGTAACGGCATGATGTGTTACTGATGATTTTCTTGATGACTGTGGTCCCTGCTGCTTTGAGATCATTAGTGAGCTCCTCCCGTGTAGTTCTGGGGTTAGCCCTCACCATTCTTGATCCCATATGATCATTGATGCCATATGATATGAGATCTTCCTTGGGACCCTAGACCGAGGGTAATTGACAGTTATTTTGTCTTTCTTCCATTTGTGAATAATTGCAACAACAGTTGTCACTTTCTCACCAAGCTGCTTGCTGATGGTCATTTAGCCCATTCCATATTTGTGAAGGTCAAAAATCTTGTCTCTGATGTCCTTAGACAGCTCTTTGTTATTTCCTATGGTGATAAGGTTGAAGATGTAGACAGGTTAGTGACCCAAGAATACTGTTTAACAAAGTATTGCCATTAAATGACAATGCTGGTTTGGTATCTGTTAATAATTAATTAAGTACTACTTGTGTTGTGTTAGTGCACATGTACCTGACCTAATTTCTTGCTGGCTTGTAGGGCATCAAATAATTATTTCCCTAGATAAATAACAAATTGATTTGTATCTGTTACATAATCATTTTTTTCTTGTTTGTTTTGTTGAAAATTTATCTTCTGCTGTTAAAATAAACCTACCAGTGAAATTACAGACTAATGGGTCTAGTTAGTAATTCAACAGGGGGTCAAATAATTATTTCCCTCACTGTAGATAGATAGATAGATAGATAGATAGATAGATAGATAGATAGATAGATAGATAGATAGGAAAAAATAGTCTGAAACATATACCTAGGTAAGTTTGTTATGTCGTAAATTAATCTTGTTTAATATATTTCATAATTGATTTGATTTTATTAAAAGTTCAAAAGTATTCTATGTTGCCATTAAAAATACAGAGTACAACAAAAACGTGGGTCTTTACTTTTGGATTTAGAAAAAGATAATATATGGTGCTGATAGATTAAGTATCATAGAGAGCTCATGATAATGCCGGCCTGCCCGCTTTTGAAATGTACTGTAGCATCCTGGTATTGCAGTGGAGCTTACGCTGACACCATGTGGAGAAAAGTGATATTTTTTTCAAAGAACAATTCAATTTGTCTCAGTGGCAACTTTATTAAACACACTTAGCAAATACTCGGTAGGACCTAATTTTTCCTCCAAAATAGCTTCAAAGGTTCAAGTGTTGTGCATTCAGAAAGACATTTCTTCACATAGCAGTTATACCGAGATCTATTTTAGCATTTATGGCCTTCCTGTTAGTTTTAACAAGTCTGACCATTTTTTCTGACATCTCTCATTAACAAAGTATTTTGCCCACAGAAAAGCTGCTGCAGGCTGGATTTTTTTAATTGCACCATTTTATGAATGTAATGGGTGAAAATCCCAAGAAAGTTGCTGTTTCTGTGATTAACTACCAAGTCTGTCAAAAACAAATACACCACATTCAAAAGCGCTTAGATTGGGCACCTTATAACATTGAGTTGAAAAGTAACTGAACCTCTTGGACATGTCTGTGTTTTATATGTATTCACTTGCAGGGACATTGACACAGCACAGAAAACAGCCAATACCTTCTAAGTTGGTTGTTGTGTGATTTCTTGCATTATTTCTGTATTAGCTGACTGACTAAGATGTGTGGCCACTTTAGTTACTTCGCGGGGAAAGGTGTAATTAGGGTTTCAAAATTAACACGCAGAGTAAAGCAAAAAAATTATAATGCACAATGACATTGAAATGAATGCTGACATGTTAACTTTAACAGCTCAATGCTTTTTTGTTTACTAACCAGCAGCCTAGTTTTCTATTTTTTATATTCACGCTTAGTCTAAACTACTTGCCTCAGGTGAGTGGGCAAGCTTAATTCCCTGCTCTATGTGTTTATTTTTGGTCTAAACAGTAGAGCTGATAATTGAGAAGTTGAGAAAAAAACATTTAAATTACTGTGTACATTTATTGCGAGTGTCCAGAAATCTGTTGGTGCCCCCCTAAAAAAAACCCAAGCTTTGTTATGTTATCAAAAGGCTACATGTAACAATATGTTTCTTTACTCAAAGAAGGCCTATATATGTAGTCATCTGAAAATGAGGTGTATATAAATATTTAATATATTAATTTTGCAACACTGAACTTGGTGCCTAATGGGTTAAGAACATAATAAGAAATTTACAAACGAGAGGAGGCTATTCGGTCCATCAAGCTCATTTGGGGAGAACTCAACTAATAGCTCAGAGTTGTTAAAATCTTATCTAGCTCTGATTTAAGGAACTCAAGGTTTTAGCTTGCACTACACTAACAGGGAGACTTTTCCATACTCTAACTACATGCTGTGTAATGAAGTGCTTTCTCAAATCCAGCTTAACATGTTCTCCTGCTAAGTTCCACCTATGGCCATGTGTCCTTGTATTTGAACTAATATTATCACCAATAATATTGACCTGAATATGACGTTAAGCTGCATCCAGTACTGCAAGCAGTCCTCCAACACCCTTCTGCTCTCTGTGGGAGTAACTCTGCTGCAGCCACCCACAGGAAAGTTGCACACATCTTGAAGGGGGTGGGGGAAAACCTCTGGCAGCCGCATCCCTGGAAGAGTCGAAACCGTCGGAGCGCTAATAGGGTCAGGCCTGCTGGGAATCAGGACCACAGACTTGTTGTTGCTACTCTCAAGATTCAGAGATTCAGCTTAGATCCAGTAACCACCAACTAAGGGAATGAGGCTGGATTTGGCCAGACATGCATACGTGTGCATTCCTCATTTTCTTGCCAAACGTGCACATTCAAAATAAGTGATTCTGCGATCGTGTCCGACTAGTAGGAGTGGTGTTTTTTAAATGAGGTGCGGCCTGGCACATTGTCGACGCGTTGCTATTTGAAGGCAGCAAAATGACATTGCACTTTTGAACAAAAAAACCACATCTAAAGTCAGTGGCACATTATTGAACAATATTTAAGTGGCGCCTTTTTGAAATGTGTGGGTGCACGACACTCTTTGTTCAAAGCGCACTGATGTTTTTTTTATATACTTTTTTATTATAGATACAACTGGTCCTTTCATGTAATCATATTGTTCCATGAAACACTATATATATATAATATTGTAGCGCCAGTGAGATCTGCTCATCCCGAAATGCCTAATGAGCGTGTGTATATAGCCCTTGTATTGCTGTTGTATTTATCGTTAATACTTGTGTTCCCGGTTGTGGCGTGTATATTTCTTCATGTCATACAGGTATGTGCACCATGTCCGATCCTCACGTGTTTTTAGCTTGTATAAATCTCCGACCATGTGTGTACCTTACAGTCTGGCGTTTGACCACCTTGTTCTTTCACTGTTATATTTGAGTTTGTTGTTCACTATAGTCCTGTTTAGGACCGCCATAAAGACAGCGTGTTTCGTCCCAGCAGATAAGTCTCCTCGTCCTTCCCTACAATGTATTGTACCACTGGTGGGATCTGAATATGGGGTTGTACCGCCGGCAGTGTCCGACAGCCCCGTGAGCTAGTTGTCCCCAGAGAGGCCTGGTTGTAGGAGTACATAGAAGTGGAGTTCCCTGGCTAGGAGGACCCACTGGAAGGGCTACCTGATCCCCCTAAGGTGTGCAAATGGAAGTGTTGGCGACCGGGGGGATCTGACAGCCCTGTGTATGTCCTGTAGCTCTCGTATGTATTTGCTAGTGTAAATACCTGTTCTCCTGACTGTCATATGTGCCATTAATATTCCTTGTGTGGTATCTGTGATCCTGATGTACCCTAGTGTTGTGTAATTACCCTACCGTGTGTGAGCCTTCTGATTTATTGTGCGACTTCCCCGTGTTTCTGTGCCATGAGTGCTGTGTATTGTTGCTTACTGTGTGGTCCTTTTGAGGACTGCACATTAAAGACAACTTAACCCTCAATGGTTCCTTGGGGTGCGTTCTGCACCCCCTGCCCATTTCTATGGCTACTACCATGTTGTTATTAAAATTACAGCAGTTATCCTCTAGGACATTGTAAGTGCACCAGTTTTACATACGGTCATGCAGAAAATGATAG